GTTGAGTGCACAGATGCAGCTGCAGTGGATGCTGTTGGAGGACGCCGTCGTCTCCGGTGACTCGACAGCGACACACTTACTCAGTTTTCTGGCAAGTGCACGGGGGTCCCCTGTGGTCGCTCTGGCTCGCCTGACAAAGGGCGTGGGTGCCAAGGATTGGCGCAACATCTCGCCAGGAGTGGCGGAGATGTTGATGCGCGATGTGCCGGAGGCGGTCGAAGTCTATGACGACAATTCCGAGGAGGAGGAACAGGGTGTGGTGGCGTGCCCGTGGACAGAACAGGCTGAGGCCGCGGAGTTGGAGGCGGCGGCAAATATCTCGCACGACTTCGTCGACGAGGATCCGATTGCGGAGCAGCCTGATGACGATCACCTGGACGAGCAGGCGGATGCGAACGAGGAGGTGCCCCAAATCCTCTTCGACAGGGTCAACCCAGTGGCAGTCGAAGAGATTGGCAAGCGTGTTCTCAGCAAGGTCTTCAGGACAGGCAACGGGAACGGCCCGACGGTGATGCGCATCTGTGGAGATATCCTGGCACAGTGCACACGTGGGAAGGTGGCCGGGGCGAGGTGCTTTCGCACTACGTACAGGGAGGAGAAGGGGATGGTCGCCATCGGCAAAAAAGGCAGGCGTTTCTCCGGTCACGTGGAGGCTCCCAAGAAGAAGAAGAAGGGAGAGGAGGAAGAGGAGGAGTTTAAGAGCGTCACGGCTCACTTCGCAACCAGCACTTTCGCCCAGCCGAATTGGCTCCGGTCACTGCTTCGCTCGGGGCATTTCGTCTTTGACTTGGAGAACTGCCACTTGGCAGTGCTGCGCGAACGCCATCAGCCAGCGGCCGACTCGGCGCTGGAGACATACTTCCAGGACAGGGAGCGCATCCTCCGCGACACACATGCGGACCGCACCGTGGCCAAACAGCTCTTCCTGCGTCTTCTGTACGGCGGGTCGATCTTGGCCTGGAAGCGCACGCACCGACTTGGGGAGTTCGCGACAGAGCAGTTTGCCGAGCGGTTCGCAGCAGAGATGGCTGCCATGCGGCAGGCTGACTGCCAGAACCACACCCAGCTACTTGCCAAGCTGCGGCAACGGACGGCGCGCCCCGTGGAGTATTTGCAGTACGCCCTCAACACTGCGCGAGAGAGGGAGCTGATTGACAAGGTCGTGCTGCTCCTGGGAGAGCATCACAACGCAGCCGTCCTGGCTTTCGAGCACGACGGGCTGTTCCTCTACTGGCCGGACGAGCCGGAGAAACTACGCGCATCGAGAGTGCGCTGTGCGGCTTCCGCTACACTGTGAAGCCGATGATGCCGCTACGAGAGGCTCTGCAGGCGGCAGCGAGAGTGATGCGCAGCGGCAGCCCCGGCCTGGAGCGCATGTTTGACCAGGTGGACTCGCGTTGGCTTGAGCACCACGGTATCCTGCGCCAAGCCTTCAAAGGTTCGTTGCAGTACCACGGCCTGTTCGGGGAAGTCGTGCTGAGGAGCCCGGCGGTTTCCAGCAAGATCCCATACTCGTTGAAGGACATCTTCAAGTTCATCGTCGACACTGGTCACAAAGCCTGGTTCAGCGCCACACTGAAAACCTGGATCCTGACTGGAGACAGCGCAATGGGAAGGCGAGTGAGAAGATTCTGATCCGCGACTTGACGGACTACCACATCGAATGGACCACCTCGGAACAGGATGCAGGGTTTCGGAGCAACACTCGCTGGGAGTTCACTGGCCAGACTTTCCAGAACGGCGTTGTCAACTGGCTGAAATCGAATCTGGGAGAGTCCTCCGCTGCCTTCGATGTGGACGGAGAGTCCTGCCGCAAGTACTTGAACTTCTCCGGCAAAGTGCTGAACAGTGAGACGCTGGAGTGGTCTCCCATCAGCCCCACATTCAAAATCACCCGCAGCACTAACTGGGAGCATCAATGGCCTGCCTGGTGGTCCACGGAGGTTTGCACCGAGCTCTACGCCGTTCTGGCCGAGGTGCGTCGTCAGCAGGAGGATGCGGAGAAGAGGAGGGTGGAATACACCCTCGGTGAGCAGGTGAAAGCCCGCCTTGACGCCCTGTGCAAGAAGATCCCTGCGTTGCAGGTGGTGCACGCCTGGACGGTGGATGACTGGGAGTCCACATTGTTTGAGCTGTCGCTGCTCGTGAAGGGAGTTTTCGGAGGCACGCAGGCGGCAGCCCTGTGGGACCAGGGGCGTGGGTAGGAACGGAAAAGACACGCTGTGCAACATCATGCAGGCTGTCTTGGGGAGCTACGCTGTCTCGATGGCAGCGCAGACACTGTCCCGAATCAGGGGCCCGAGCGCTCCATCACCGGCGTACGCACTGTGCAGGGCACGTCGCTTCGTGGCGATCAGGGAGATCGACAAATGCGAGCCCATCAGGCAGCAGTTGTACAAGGTGTTCACCGACCCGAAGAGTGAGCTCACGGGCAGAGACATGTACGAGAAGATGGTGCAGTTCAAGCCCCAGTTCCTCCTTTTCCTCGCATCGAACGACCCCCCAGCCCTTGTCAACGATCTGGCCAACCGGGAACGGACCAACGTTGTGGAGCATGTGTCGGTGTTCCACGACCATCCCGTGGAAGCGAACCACGCACAGTGGAAGGACATTGAGGCCACGCTGGAGACATCCGAGGGCAAGGCAGAGTACTTCGCCCTGTTTTACGCCGTCTTCCATCAGCTGCTGTGGCAGAACCCCCGCAGGCGCATCGGCCCTATCCCACCCAAATGCCTGGCTTTCCTGGAAGAGGAGATGCATGACCCCGTCTTGAGCGCCGTCACAGATTTCGTTGCCACGAAGCTGGAGCGAGCGCCAAGGGGAGGTGCCACGCCACGTGAGGAGGTGCACAAGGCGTTGCGTGCCTTTGTCGAGAGAAACGCGCCGGTGGAGGACGGCAGGCGCCGCGAAGTCCGGTGCGGCGAGCTCCTGAAGCAACTGGGCGTCCTGGAGAAGAGGGGACGCGGCGGCGCCACGCTGGACGGCCTACTATTTGATCTACATCTTCCCGAAGACGGACGGCTCCAAGGACAGTGAAGCCAGCTTCGTTCGCTTGGTGAGTGGCGCAGAGCCTGCAGTTGGAGGCGGCAACTGAGTGAGGGGAGGAGGAGGGACATGTGCAATCAGGTACAGTGCACTATCCCTGTTTCATCTTGCAGCGAACAGAGAGACGAACAGAAAAAAGACGGAAGCGATCGAGACGCTTTGGCGCTAGCGTGAGAGCTTGTGTTCCATCGTCGACTGACTGCGCGACACGCTCCGTCGTATCAGGGGCTCAAAAGCATTTGGATTGTGGACTGCAAGAGTTGCGCCGAGACGTTGCGACAAGCGCAAACCGGCCATTTTTTCTCATGTCAGGAAGGAGACAGCACTTTTTTTTTTCTCGGAGCCAGAGAAGTCTCACTGAGACAAGTGAGACAAGTGAGACAAGTGAGACAACACAAACCCAGCGATTTTTTTGACTTTTTTTGCATGAAACCTGCAATGGAAACAATTGGCATGGATTGAGACCAAAGAACGTCCATTTTTTGATTGTTTTGCTGCATGAAACCTTGTGTTGGGACAACTGATGCAACTGAGACAAACATGAAACCGGCCAATTTGGCCGCCTTGCTGCATGAAACCTTGAGTTGAGACAATCGAGACAACAACGGAGACAAGTGAGACAAACGCGAAACCAGCCATTCTTTACCTTTTTTTTTCTACCATGGAGACAGGCCGTTTTTTTTCAGAGCCAGAGAAGTTCCCCTGAGACATTGAGACAAGTGAGACAAGTGAGACAAACACAAAACCGACCAATTTGGTTGTTTTTTTACTTGAAATCCTCCGTGGAGACCACTGAGACAAGTGAGACAAGCACGAAGCCGGCCAATTTGGCTGTTGTTTTTGGTATGGAAGCCTCCGTTGAGACAAGTGAGACAAGTGAGACAAACACAAAACCAGCTTTCTGTTTGCCGTTTTATTGAATTTTATTGGTTGTCTCACTTGTCTCACTTGTCTCAATGTCTCAGTAGGACCTTTGCGGGTCTGGCGTTTTTTTTGTGTCTTGAGCACCCCAAACCCTAACGCAGGGACATTTGCACGGTTTTGCACGGTTTGCCCACGCCAGCCCCGCTCATTTGATTGGTCCGCCCAACCCGTTGGAGTTTGATACTGGTTCGCCCAACCCGTTTGGTTTGCCGAGGACCCCAAACCCTAAAGGGACGTTTGTGCGGTTTTGCGCAACAGAAATGCTATCCTTCCAGGCCCTATATCAATATAGACCCTGGAAGGATAGCTCGTTTTGCACGGTTTGGCGCTACAAAATGCTATTCTTCTAGGGCCTACATGTATGTAGGGCCTGGAGGAATAGCTCGTTTTGCACGGTTTTGCGCTGAAAAAATGCGATATAGACACTAGAAGAATAGCTTTTGCACGGGTTTGCACGGTTTGCCCATGCCAGCCCCCGCTCATTTGATTGGTTCGCCCAACCCGTTGGTTTCCCGAGCACCCCAAACCCTAACCCAAAAAAAGGAGATGAGCAGCCCCCGGTAATTCCGACGGCCCCGCGCAATGTCTCGAAACCCTTTTTTTCTAGTGTTTTCGCTCGATCAGGCAATTCCAACTTGAGTGTGATCAAAGTTTTTTTTGCGCCAAAAGGGGCTTGCTTCAAGCGTCCTCGGAAACGAGGAGGCCTGAAGAGTGAAGAGTGCCTCAAAAAATCATTTTCAAAGGAGGCTAGTCGAGGGTCCTGGGCCTCGGAGGCGCCAGGAAGTCGTCCAGCTGCCTCACAGCCGCCGGCCTGCCCCGTCTCGTCAGCCGGCCCGCCGCGTTGCCGCTGCCCTGCGGCGCCGGCAGCGCCAGCTTCATCAGGGTCTCCCGGCCCTCCGTGCTGCCGCGCGGGAGCCTGACGGTACCGACCGGAAACTTTGTGGTCACGACATACCTTGGGCAACGGTTCTCCACGCTGGACCGGGAGCTGCCCGCGGAAAGCCGGCACCGGACGAAGCGGCCCAGGACCGCAACGCCAAAAACGCCATTGCGCGTGGTGGACCCGGGGCATCCAGAGACTCTGAAGAAGGACTGGCCACGAGGGTGGCGCGCAAGGGCAGGCCACAGAAGTTCATGGCCCCAGGACAACGCCGACAGTTCCAGCACAACAAGGACCCTCACTCACCGGCGCGTGAAGCGGTGGAGGACGCGCCTTCCGCGGCCGCCTTCCGAGCGCCGAAAAACGCGGCGGACCTAGACAGCCGAAGAGAGAGACGAACGCGGCGAGAGCTTCAACCCTCAGCGGCGACGGTGCAGCAAGCTGGGGGCCGTGGACTCCATTAACCTGGGCGCGCTTGGTGGCCCGCCCACCGTCTCGGCGTTCTTGTTCTGCAGAGGTTCCACGGCACGGCGGCCTCCCGGGTGAAGACGTCCATCACCACCAGGCCATACTTCGTCTTCCCCCGGGTGTTCTGGCTGAAGTCGATGAGGTCGGCCTGCAGCCGGTCGTTCGGCCCCGCGGTGGCCGACTTGCCCAGCGCGCGGGGCCGTGGCGCCTGCACCTGCCGGCCCACGTCGGCCTTCAGCGCCTCGAAGGCCATGGCCTGCGTCACGTCGAGGTCGCGCTGCCTCGCAAGTCGGTACAGCTTCCGCGGGTCCCGCACGTTGAAGTCGTCGGCCAGATCTCTTAGCGCCTCCATTTAAAAAAACAGCTTTTGTTGCCCCAAAAAGGAGCTTGCGCTGGCGTCACCGGATGCAGTGAGGCCTGCACACACCTACTTCTTGCCCCAAAAAGGAGCTTGAGCAAGGCTCCGCTAGAACGAGGAGGCCTGCTCACACAGCTACTTGTTCTTCGGCCCCCGCTGGGCCTGCCAGTTCTTCCTCGTCCAGCCGGGCCTGGAAGCCCTTGCACACCCCCCACAGCACGCTGGTGAGGTGAGAGTAGTCGAGAGTAACCATCTCCGTGCCGTCGCTCCACCGGGCGGTGCCCGTCAAATTCTTCCACTTTGTTCCTGCGAAGTCGTCCGAGGCGAAGCCCAGCCTCAGGCTTGGCCTCCACGGAGTCAAGGCCCAGCATGTGGTCCACGCTGAAGGGCTTGGTGGGAGAGGCGGGCGGCGCAGCAGGGTAGTCCGCGGCATCAGGGAATTGCTGGCGCAGCTCCAGGTCGTTCAGAATGAGCCTGTTGCCGTCGTAGGCTACGCTCAAAGAGCTGCTGGAGCTCCGCCACGTCGGCCTCGGCCATCTCCGTCTTCACCCGGCTGTCCGACAAATTCGTGAAGCTCGTGTTGCAGACCACGTTGCCCGTGTTGCCCGCGATCACGAGGCAGCCGGGGTTCCTCTGGTTCGTGGTCAGGGACAGCTGCGTGGAGAGGCCCTTGGTCTGCACCAGCGCCTCGTCGTTGATCATGATGAGCTCGCACTGGTGCGCCCCGCCGTCCCGCTCCAGGAAGACCCGCGCGCTCTGGTTGCCCAGCAGCCGCAGCTCCGGGCCGCTGTCGGGGCCCGCGCTGTTGTTGGACACTTGCAGCTTGCTCCAGCCCGCCCAGTTCTTCGTCAGGAAGAGATCGTCCGAAAAGTCTGAGGTGTTGGTCACGGTGAGCGTGTTGGAGGCGAAGAGCTGCGGCGCGGAGACCGTGCCCGAGCTCGTCACGTCGCCGCACACCACGCTGCCCGTCGACACTCCGCCGCGCGTGGCCGTGAAGGTGCAGTCCAGGCTCTCGCAGTCCAGCGGGCCCGCGGACGCCGCCCCGGTGATGGTCAGCGTGGCGCCCGTGAGCGCGCCGGTGGCTGCGAAGCTCGCCGCCGTCGCTGCGCCCGAGGCCG